CCTACAATAATGATATGTGATGTGTTTATTAAAAATGAATTATACAGTATTTTTCAATGTTTATCTATTTAATAGATGTAGACTGGGGGCTACTATCAGGCAAAACCCACACATATGTAAAGCTATATTATAAGACAGTTTGGCAATTACTAAAAATAAATACTTGCAAAACGTTATTTATTCCTTTATTTTTAAGGTTGCTTGTTCAACTTCTAATTCCATTCAATTTATACACAAGGAGAAAAGTTTAGGGCATTTTTTTTTCCCCCATGAAGTGGTAATGCTGCAAAACATATGACAAAAATGCAAATTTAGCTGCAGTTTACAACTTAAGAGATACACAGAAGATTTTCACATGCACACAATGCATTCAAAGCAAGCACTACGCCTAAATTAGATGGTGGAGTTCTTTTAAATAAAGTATTAGATGACCTAGAAAACAGAAAACTTATTTCAAAGGTTTAGAACAGTCAGCTTTTAACCTCATCTTTCCCTGAAATGGGAAAGGACCTTTTAGTCAAACTCAGAGTTACTCAACTATAATGTTCTAGTACCGTAAGTATGGACATGTGTAGAAAACTTAATTAAAACATACAAAAATGTTAATAATAGTGTATAAAGTAACAAAACATGCAAATTCACAAGACAGTCAAACAGTAATGACATTTAAGTTGCCATAGTAAGACAACAAAAGTTCATAAGCATTATAGGTAAGAAGGTACACATTCAGAAATGATTACTTTACAACCTCTCTGCTAGCTTCTGCAGACTCTTTCAACAATTCCATGCTGTCAATAATGACTGAAACACATCTGATGATTTCAGGAATTTCAATACCATGTAGCAGAGCAGTGGCAAAATTGCACCAAGTTCACTGGAAAAATAGCAATGGCAGTGATACATATGTCCCATAGGCAAAACTTCTCCCTTGCTGTAGTCTCTCAACTGTTCTCTACCAGCTTTGACATATGCCTTAAGAAAGGCTTTGCTTCATATACCTGAGGAGCTAAACACACATCCAGGATGTTTCTAGACAGAGCAAAACACAGAACATGAATATTTGTCCTTGATAAACAATCAAGTATGAAGATGCATTCCTTGTGAATAACACACCTATTTATACACATGGAGTAACAGATGTTAAAGTGTTATCAAGTGTAATTCTCAATTACTCTGTGTTACTATGTAGTCAGTTCCAAATACCCATGGAGAAAGAACGTCAGCTGTTGAGCTTTTGTCTACTTCTTTAACTTGTATATATTCACAACCAACTCCTCAATGTAAAGCTTCTCAAGTTTGGTCTCCTGAAAGCTTAAGACACACATTTCTGATTTTCTAAATATCACCCTTTTTGATAAACAGTCTAAAATCCCAATCCAGTAAGAATGTATGCAAATACTTAACAACAAGCAAAAAGCTAGCCTTACTTAAGACTTCTTGACGTATTTACAAGTTTGAAGAGTAAGCATTTTCCTTGCATTGTATCATCTAGTTTCTTTGCCAGTACTTTTTGGTAGCACTTTAAATCATATTTCAAATATACACTAGGGCACAACTAACAATGTGTTTTCTTCAAATAATTTCCCAAAATTGGATCAAAGAAAGCACAGTTTACAAAGAGACTGTCTTGCCTTATTTTCTTACATTTTTAGTATTTAAAAAAAAAATAATCCCAAAGCCCACTTACTACAGAACTACAAGCTGCATGGGTTACTGTCCCTTTCCTGAGACAGAAACGGAGCAGGGAATGCCCAAGCACTCTTGCACTTCCATCACTTATCCTGTTGTCTGATTGTGTACATAACTGTCAACATTCTAAAAGTTAAACCACCAAATCAGTTCAGCCTGTATAAAAATCAACTATTTCCAGGGCATTTACACAAAGGGACCTAGCACTCAGCAGAACTGCATGAGCTCTGCGATGACTGAACTTAAATAGAAGCCAACATCAAACATCAACTGAAGAGAGCTAGATGCTCTTAGATACATTCCAGGTTTCTGTGCACATTATGGATGACAAACGGGCTAGAGAGCAACAGCTAATCCTTGAATTAGAGTACATGAAATACAATTAGTTGCTACAAATATTATCCAAGTATTAAACAGGCATGGGGAAATGAACACAACAGCCGCATGCGTGTTGCATTTCAGGTGGAAAGGTCTTAAACTGCAATACTGAAACTTGGTTTCTATATCCTCCAAATATTTTTTTTTTTTTTTTAAGTAATTTAATATGTGAAACAACACTTGAAACCACATCTACACAAACTTCAAAAAACATATCTGGTAAAGAATGTTTCACAGACCCATGAGTACTAATTCTACCAGGTACTAGTACCTAATGCTCACAGCTTAAAAAGCTGTGCACGAGTTAACATCTGTTACCTGCAAATGTGTGCTTCCTCTGTTTGTTTGATAACATACTACTATTTGCAAAATCTTCTTCGTAAGTACAGTCATCCACACTTTGTACACTGTAAAGATAACAGCCAAATGCTAGCTTGACTAGTTCAACTTAAAATGCAAGAAACCGATATGCCCATCTCCCACACGAAGAGACACCAACATTGAGTTAAATGAAGTAACAGCAGGGGGTAAAAATGCATTATTCTGTTATGATTCAATCAGCTACTCTTTTCCTCCATCAACTCCCAAGATTGCTCACAGGCTAGAAGTAAGGACTTCTCAAAGATTAAGAAAAATTATTTTCTAATAAATATTCAGGCTAACTTGCAAAGTGCAAAGTACAAAGTATGAATGTGACTCTGATACTTTAACTCACATCCACCAGCTGCATTTTACCTTATTTCAGTCAGTGTTGCACCATAAATATGCCAGTAAACTGCTAGCAATCTGGATCCTTGTCTTTCAGGAGTGAAGATCAGCTAGGAAGTCTTCTGTTCATATGGACAATTATCACACTTTGGAAAGAATGCAGTAATTCTCTTTATGGAAAAATTCCTCCAGACCTGAACATCCTTACTTTCTGCTCTACCAGGGCTCCACTGCCTATTTCTAGATGCTACTCAAAATTTTCATTAGATGTGTAGAATACCAGCCCATACTCAAGCCATGGCCTGAAAGGTTAATTCGCACAAGGCATACTGTTCCAAATATCATAATGCATAATGTTGTTATTAGTGTATTTGGAGTAAATTTCCATACCTACAGAAGGATCTCTGAAATTTATGCCAGTCTGGTAGCATATTACAATCAACAGTAACTACCTTCACGGATATTTAACTCTTTTTTTATTTTATTTTATTTTTTTTAGCTAAAACACTTAAGATGTGAGAGAAAGCTGGAGGCAGTAAAAATTGATCAACTGTTGGGAATTAAGTTTGAGCCACTTTTTAAAGTATTAATTTATTTATATATGACAGACATCATTTATAAATACTAATGAAAGGGTTAAAAAATTGTGGGGATGTCAACAGAAGGAAAATATAGTGGGAAGTGTTTCAATAAACTACAAATACATGGGAAAGATGTACTGTATTAAGAAAACGATAGTCAATCAGTAGATTACAATGCCTGAAATGTACCTGCTAAAGTCCACTACATCTGATCATTTGTTATTAGAAATGACAGGTCCCTTTGAGCTGTTTTGTCCAAGTCAAAGTGTATTTTTGGAAAAAAAAAGCTTCAAAAGTTTAAAGCTTTAATTTCTGACAGGCAAACTTCTAATACTAATTTATTATTTTCACAGCCCAACAGCCATCCTCTATACATACCAAATTCATTATCTAAACCACGTTCATCAGTCCAAAACAAGACAATCACCCTTTTCCCATATACAATAAATTTACTACTGCACACCTGCCTGTTAAAGTTATTACTCAGTGGCCTAAACGGGGATTAAAACAAATATTCCCACTTAGATTATATTATCTATTGTAGTATATACTGCTTGCCAAACTGCTTCCCATACTCTGACCACTGATCTGATGTTGGCGTAACACTTGAAAAGCTTTGATTATTTTCTCCTCGTCCCTCAAGTGACACATTCATCATGCCCTAGTAGGCCACCACCACTTCCAGGGTGAGAAGTAGTATTTCTTAAACCCCTTCACACATCATTCCCATCTTCCCTAAATCAGAAGCAAGGCTGATACCAGCTGACCCCTTACCAAGAATATCATCAGTTTTAGTTTCTACAAAACTGTCATCTCCTTGGACATCAAACATCTAGTCTGCAAGTCTTCATGTATTTCTGATAATCGCAGCACACAAAGAGAAGGACAGGCACATACACCATAGTGCTGCCATCACAATTACGAGGACTGCCTGTACACATCCATGTTAGTGACAGATTGGACTAATTTATTCTAATCTATTTTTATTATTTTTGTTCCTAAGGTTGAACTAAACTCCATTTCAAGTAAAGTACTTTACTTGATTTAAGCTCACAATAGCATACAGGTTTGTAACAGACAGTAATTGCAAACAAGCTATACTTAAAAGGAAAGTAGGCAAGTGAATAGGGCTGATAAAATTTTCAAAGTCAATGGCCAATATCAGTTTATTTTTGTAGTCATCATTCTACCTTCCCACAGCAAAGAACATTGTTTCCCACCACAGAAAATGATCTATATAAAAGCTTCTTTCCCCGCGCCCCCAGAAATATGCTTTTATATAATCTAGTTACTCTTGTTCCTACTTTTAATTCAGGATTCTCCTGACTACCGGAAAAAAGCCTCAACAAGAGCTATATTAAATCGAAAGTAATGAGTGTTTGTTTTCTATTGAAACAAACAAACAAAAATCAATCCCTCACATTTACTTCAAAATACCCATTGCATTCAGAGCACCATTGAATATTTTTTTTTTTTCCCCCAACCGAACTTTGGAGAAGAACACTAATTCCCTGACATTTTAACTCTATTTTTTCCTCAAGTGTGTTAATTTCACATTTAACTGCAGAGGATTTTTTTGTTCATGTGCTTTCAGAAGAAAATATAATGGCTCCAAGCACTAATAAGCCAGATACTGAGCACGGAAAAAAAAAACACGTAGTTTTGTCACTGTGTTGTCTGAAGCAGTTGGAGTGTATTTTTGGGACCCATAATATGAATGATTCTAATGTAAAGATAAATGCACAAGAACAATTCCATCCATGCTTACAGATATATTTTGTTAGTTCGGGTCTTAATTTTCAAAGTGTAGATTGTAAAATAAAAAGTACTACTTGATCAAGTTCCCTGAAGCCTGGGTATTAAACAAACATCTGCAAAAAGGTTTTAGAAATTAATTCATAACTGATTGAGAACCTGAACAAGAAAAATTAAGTCCAGATAATTTATTTCCTTGACAAATGAGGAGAGAAAAAACTGTAACTTCCAATTACAAACATTTTATCTAATAACAGTTCATCTTGTTTGTGTCTATACATTCTACTGACTAGATGTATTTATTGACTAAAATATGGTTATTATAAAATAAGCAGACAAAAAAGGAAATTAAGATTTTACACAACACAGCTTCAAAGCAGCCTGCCTCCTTTGTTTTCCACGGCATTCTTAGCTTTGGACACACGATAGGTCTTCCAGCATCAAATACTGCCAGAAATTTCTCAAATTAATTTTTGAGAATATGCCAAAGAGCTAATAAACAAGGTCTGACAGATTTTTCTCATTTTAAAATAAAAACTGTTGATAAACTTCCTGTATTTACTGAAGAAAAAGCTGACAATCCCATCTTTCAATAACTCTATAAATAAGTTTGGGGGTGGTGGGTTGTTTTTTTGTTGTTTGTTTTTTTTTTAAATTGTATTACACAGTGGCAAATTTCCCTGGTTTTTGTTAAACAAAACACCAGGCAGTCAGTATGGATGTTGCATGGTTTAACTCATCATTAATTTGTGCCCCCCCCCCCGCCAAAACAAACCAGCACGGCATGTCAAGTTGAAACAGAAAAAAAAAAAAAACAAAACAACTGAAAAGGCCAATTTATGTTAATAGGCACATCTAGAGTCTACACACTTAAGGTGCTGTCAGTCTCTGAACATAAAATTACACCCGCCTTTGAATCCCCCAAAGGAACTGAGTAGAGGACAAAGAATCAGCACAGCTGGTTTTGTTCTCAACAGAGTTCAGGTGTACGTATGTAACATTTTACATTTTGGCTGGTTTTTTTTTTTAAATGTGAAATGTTACTGCTCAATCCTATATACTTCAAAACTATGATAATGCAGTACTTTATACTAAAAAGCTCATTTGAAAGATACATATATTATACTTAGAAAAAAACCTGTTCAACAGCATTCAGATACGTATACAACAGTTTAAATCAATAAATTAAAAAAAAAAAATCACTGAAACTGGCTTTAAAAATACAAAACCAAACCAAAACAAAAAACCAGAACACAACAACAAAAACAAAAAGCCATGTGAGGTTCTAAACAAGAAATAAGGAACACAACTCCATGTTATTCACAGGGTACAGCTCTAGTAATAGGATGTATTCTGGCATATTATAATGTAGCATTTAGGCATAAACCTCTTGAATCATTCCCACAAAGACTCACAAAATCTCTTCTAACAAATGCCTTCAAGTTTGCCTTTTCTAGTAGTAGCAGCATGTCAAGTTTACTATAGTTACATTTTGAAGCTGCTAGTCAGAACGGCAACAATGCAGGCTGTGTCTTGAAATATGTCTGGAAACTGCACTTTGTGCTTCTTTCTTAACAGAAACTTTAGCAGTTTCTTGTGATCTGGAAGACTGCAATATTCTTTCAACATTAGTAGTGAAAGAGGTTTGAAGTATTTTTTCAGAGATATTTCAACATGGTTCTTATTCAATGTCGAGGGTTATATTTCAAAGTGTCAAGACAGCACCATCAATGAGTCTGTCCTTAACTTCATAATTATATCTTCCAACAGTCAGGTCTCTGTTTACAAATAATGCTTATGCAACACTGTACCTGTAGAAGGTGCTTCGTAAATTTTGAAGCTTTAACCAAAGGCAAAAAAAGGCTAAAAAAACGACATCAAATCATTTTCATTTGCTACTAAATGACACATAGTTGTTTTATTCGAAAAGCTGTATTTGTAGAACCAACCCAGACAAAGAACAGATACCAGCTACACCGGCGTGTGTGTCAATTCTGGCTTCTTTAAGTGAGACAACCAAGCGCAAAGAAGGCTGAGCAGAGTTAGCAAGAAACTTTGAATCTGCCACATAAAACAAAGGCTAGAAGCAAAAACATCAGATAGGAAATGTTCATAAAAAGCAGGTCTGTGAAGTAATTGTTTGTAAAGTCTGTACGTGGAAAGGACAAAGAGCAATGCTGTGGCACAGAACCACAGAAAGAAAAGAAGTCGCATGCAATGCAGAAGTGCAAAGAGAAAAACACAGTGAAGATGCACAGAAACGGAGATGGGGGGTGCAGCAAAAACAGCTTCGGTGTTTAAACACAATGTTTATTTAAGCCTCAGCAATCTTAAGTGAATACGCATGCAACGAATGCTAAAATCACATCACTGTTACCATCAAAATGGTCCTATAAATGCTCCAGAAATAGTCTCTATTCTTGTCCTAGAGGTTCAACGTAAAATCCATTGTAAGTAATGGCTACACTGGAGGAGGGCGGCGAGCAAAAATCATTCAGAAAACGAGCCAGGACCTATTGTTGTCACCTGTGCTTGAGCAAGTACGCGGAGACAGGGGAAGCTGAACTGAACCAAACAAAGCAACTCCACTCCAGGCAGACCGGCGCACACATCGAGCAGCTCCTACCGCGTATCAAAGCTGTCCTTTTAAATTGGAGCAACCTCCTCGCTCCAGGACGGGCACAGACAGAGGCCGCCCCGTCTCGCCCTTGTTTTGACGGCGGCGCTTCCTCTTTCAGGACCCGGGAACTACCGAGCGCCCGGAGGCGTTTGCCCCGGGGCTGCCCCAGG